ATATCCGGATGAAACGAAGGAACCGGATTTATTATATCCGGATGAAACGAAGGAATCCGGATTTATTGTATCTAATCAGTATTTAAAATATAAATCCGGTTCTAACCTCTATTTGGGATTAGCTTCTTCAATAAATTTATAGGTCGTTGTGATCAACTTGAACGTACTCTGGGCCTGTTAAGCTAATTCAAGGAATATTTTTTCTTATGTTAACAAAATAAATCGAAAAAAATTAGACAGCTTACCTTTCCACGATGACGAACCAGACGGTTCCATTCAAAATTTCCGTCCAATTCTTATCCTAAGAGAAGGAACCAATCGAACCTAAATGAAAAAAGAATGAAGATAATATATTAAAATTAATATCTTATTAAAAAATAAACTAAAAAAAAAATCGACAGCTTACCTTCGGCGCGATGACAAACCGGAGGATAAATTATATATCACCTGTCATTTACACAAAAGTAGATAGTTAATATTATATTTAAAGTTTATTTTATTACTTACTAAATTTCTTTTCCATTTTAAAATTAAATTAAACATTTTAAAAACCAATATTATGAATATTAAAGGACATTTTACAAAAGTAAACTTTCTTAAATACATAAATTTCCAATCAAACTATTTCAAAAATATTAAGGCTAGCCCCTGGCTGGCCGGCCATGACCATGAATCTAGTTGGTAATTAATAAAAATAACCAATGGTGATAATTTTAATCAGAAAAATTTTTTTAAAAATAATTATCATCGCATTATGAAGATAAAAATTACGATTGGCACAGGGACACTACGATGATCCATCATCTTTGATTTAATTTTTATTTTTTTTTAAAAAAAGATTTTGAAATTTTATTTTTTAAAATAAAAAGTCATTAAATTATTGATATTTTGTGCATTGTAATGCAGTCCCCGACTAATTGCATCTCTAGTTTTATATATATCAAAAAATCTAATATGAAAGTCGATTAGGCAAAGAATTTCAATTGAAGCTTTATGAAAATTTTAGTTTCGGGACATTGACTCTTCAAATAGATATCACCTCTGGCTACAATAAGGAATAATACATCCACAGCAATCACTTTCTTTATAGCCTAATGAATTCTCCAACAAAATAACTTTCTTTGACCTAGAAATTCCGCCGGCTATTTTTGTAAAATGATTCAAGGAAAATAATAATTAGAATAATTTTTTGAAATATTGAAAAACGTTGATATTTAGAAAGCTCTGTTTGAAAAATATTTTAATTTAAAAGAATAGATGTTAAAACAAGAAGAAATCTTAAATTAGAAAACAAACTATCCTTTTATTTCCAAATATTATTAATCTACCATGTTACAGAATTATATTTTTTAATAACTTTTAATTTGTAGTTAGTTAAATCATAAATGAACAATTTAATACTGAATCTCAATTAAACTTATCGAAAAACGAAGCATATTTTTGGAGCAAAGATCAGCTTATCAATTTGCTTAGAAATACAGCTACATCAATTCATTTTACTACGGATCTTTGGACAGCAAAGAGCAATCATGGATATATCGGAATAACAGCAACTTGGCTTACTTCTGATTTTAACTTTTATGAGGTCTTGCTTACTTGTAATTATTTAGAATATCCACATACTGGAGAGGTTATTTGTGATGAATTATATCGAATTATTGAACAATGGCATTTAACAAAAACAATTTTTACAATTACTACTGATAATGGACCAAATATGATTAAAGGTGTACGACTTCTCAACCAGACTTTATCTTCTATAAAAAGACAACCTTGCGCAGCACATACATTACAATTATCTGTAAAAGAAGGTTTAAAGCATTGTAAAAATATTCATCAACGAATTAAAAATTTACAAAATTTTTTTCGATTACCAAAACAGGCACAAAGATTACGACATGCACAACTTGAAATTAATGGACTTGAAATACCTTCAACTGAAGATTCTGAAGTACCAACAAGTCCTTTAGATGTTTTAACTGATACTAAAACACGATGGAATTCAACATTTATTGCATGGAAACGAATTCTTGAGTTACACAATGCTATGCGTTATGTTTCAACTACATTATTATCAAAAAATGATCATATATTAAATAAAGAAGGAGAAAAATTAGAAAAATTATGCTTAACACATGAAGAAAAAATGTAAGCTATTAATAAAATTTTAAAAAAAATTTTTATTATTTATTTTAAATAAAGTATTTGTTATTTATAAATAGATTCGTTCAAGAAATGGTGAAATTATTAGAACCATTTGAAACTATAACTCGTCGATTATCAGGTGCTACATACCCGACACTTAATATGATACACCCATATATGTATATGCTTAAACAAATGTTTGCTCCAAAAATTCAAGAAAATGAAACTTTAGAAAGTTATTTTAATCTTATTTATGGATCTTTTACATCTGAAAATACTAATGAAGAAGAATTAAATTTGAATGATGAATTTAGTTTTATTAGTGATGATGATGATAATATTCCAACTGCTGGAAATCGACAACATTGGCAATATACTTATCAACAATTTAGAGAACGTATGAGAAATCGAGGACAAGGACGAAGACATAATCATAGTTTTTATCGTATGCGTGGTCGCGTTCGCGGTCGTGTTCGTATTTTACAAAATTCATACAAAATAAACAATGAAGTTGAAAATACATATCAAATTGAATATCTTTCTCCGGTAGATACTAGAGATCTTCTTAAAAAAGTTCGCGCTGCTATTTATCTTTCTTTGGATGATTTGTGGAATGTACCAAATGAATTATCCTTAATTGCAACAATATTAGATCCTAGAATAAAAAATTTTCCATTTGCAGAAAATTCCGATCGTGAAGAACAAAAAAAGTTAGCTGAAGATCTTTTAAAAGATTTATATATTCAACTTAAACAAGATTTAGCATTTCCCGAAGAGATTCAAGAAATATTACCTACCTTGAATGAAGAAGATGATGATATATTTGCAAAAATGTGGAGTAGCGATCAACGATCAACACTGATAGAAAATAATGAGATTTCGTATTACTTGAATTGTCCTAATGAATCAAAAACTACAGATCCTTTAGTATGGAAGCGGGATCATATAGCAAGTTATTCTATTTTATCCAAATTAGCTCAAAAGTATCTTTCAATTCCTGCTACATCTGTACCTAGTAAACGTCTCTTTTCTGATGCAGGTAATCATATTTCTTCAAAAAGAACATGATTGTCTCCAGAATTAGTAAATCGTATATTATTTTTAAAACGTAATAGTGCTTATTTTAATATTTTTTCCTCCTTTAGAATCTAATTAGTTTAATATAATAATGGAATTTCTTAGCATTTATGTATATAAACAATTTATATAATTTAATAAAATGGTTTAAATATAAATTCTCTTAATAATTATATATTTTAAAATACTTAAATGTTAGACTTCGTTAATCTTGCAAAAAAAGTTTTATAATTGAAGTATTTTTCAAAATTGAATTTCTTGTAGATTTCTATAATTACGAATTTAATTTTTATATTCGAACGAAAACAAAGGAACTAGATTTATTATATACGAATAAAACGAAGGAACTGGATTTATTATATCCGGATAAAATGAAGGAACTGGATTTATTATATCCAGATAAAACGAAGGAATCAGATTTATAATATCTGGATGAAACGAAGGAACCAGATTTATTATATCCAGATATAATGTAAATTCGAATCAGAAGAAACCGGATTTATATTCAAATGTCAAATATCAATTCTAAACTCTACCGATGACCTTTATTATTAATATCTTTCAAGGTATACACATTGGTCATAGCTTTTTTCGGCTTAGTTGCTAGCATAATAAAAAACATGTGATTGAAAATTTTTTACTTGGCAAATTTTTAGACTGAATATATCGAATACACCGAATGAACTGAATGAACCAAATGAACTGAATGAACCGAATAAACTGAATGAACTGAATCTAATGAAAATATATCGATATTACTGAATATATACTGAAAATATATCGAAAATATACCGGTATTTTTTTGAAAGATTTTTTTTGTCTATTTGTAAAAAATGCTTCAGTATTTGTGTTCAGATGTGACCCCTATCTGCTGAAGATATCCAGGATATTATTAAAGCTAAAAATTCAACAAAGTGGGCATCAGAAGTCATGGCTAACAAATACAAAATATCAACATGGTAGGTGTATCAAATTTGGAGAGGAGTTCACCCACCAATAGACCCTAAAGATATAAAACCACTGTCAGAAGAACCTGATTCGTATCAGCAAGTGGATCCTGTGGAATGCAATGTTATTTCTGGGAGTAAGGTAAAAAAGACCGGAGGAAAGAAACCCAAGTTCAAATCCGTTAGAATCTCTGAACCATCTATTACCCAGAATCAGCCAACGTCTATAAGCCCAGAGGGTTTTGAAGGTTTAAATATTAGCAGAGAGGATCTGA